CATTTCAACTTGTGGGGTCTTTAAGAGCTGTAATTTTAAACACTGAAATTACTTCAGTACACTTATATTAAAAATATTTAGACTTGTCCCTTTAATTTGCAAGGTTAAATCTGATTTTTCTATTAAAAAGCACTTTGGTTCAATGTCTGTTGTTTTTAATGTGCCATATAATTAACTGTGACTTGACGACTTTACTGCAAAAGGTTTAATATCAAATATTGATTCCAAGATGCCCAAAATTATCCCTCTAAAGGAGAGAGGACATTCTGTATGATATTTCTAATACATATATAAATATATATATACACACATACATACAGGATGTCTCTTCTTAACCTGCTTTTTTTCCCTCCTCCCCTTTCACATAAAAATAGATTTCTTTAGTAGCTGTACTGCAGACATCCAGCTTTAAGGTCTGCAGTAGAAGATGTGGATGCTTGCTTCTGAGAAATCAAACAACTGCAACACTTCCTTCAAAAAAAGAAGGAAAAAAAAAAGTATAATATCTTACTAAAATATTTTATTTTTGCTGAAGTTTGGTGAGTATCATTTAATGTCAGGTATTGTACATTCACATAATATATGTAGCACAGCAAAATGCAATTTTCTTGCTCCATTTTAACACCCTGAGGTTTGTAAGGAAATGTATGGAACATTTTAATTGACTGCAAATGGACAACGCTGCTTTACTCACGTAGACAAACAAGCTGCATTAAAACTTCACACCTGTTTCCATTACAGCGAGAAAGAGGCCCATTTATACATATATCTGGCACAGAGACGTGCTTGGCTTTATCCCAGGGAAAGGCACCGGTGCCAAGGCTGCACACTGGGAAGTGCTGTCTACTGTATACGACTGCCAGCCAGCTCATCAATAGTAAATACAGCGTGTGTGGTGTATGGGAATGTGGGCCATTTCTTTGTGGTGCTGCTTGGCGTAAGGCCACAGGTAAAAGTCGATGATTGCTGAGTTGACGTCGCAAGTCTGTCTGTCTCTCTCCTGCACCAGCTTGCAAAGGCGGTCTTTGATCAGCTCCACAGACCAAATCGAACAACCTCGAATTTCGACCTCTCTCCGGTCCCCAGAGCACAGCAGCTCACCTGAGAGAAAGACAAACACATAACACACTGAGTGATTACAGCCTATGATGTTTAAATGACAGGACGCTCACAAACACCGCTGTCTCACCGTCCTTCAGTGTCTGCATCAGTGTGTCAGAGTATCGTAGTGCACCTAAGTAGATGAGCGCCTGAGGAACCCTGTAGTCAGCAAACATGGTGAGCCAGTCCATGTTAACGATGTCTCCGTGTCCTCTGGCTTCCATGACCCCCCAGAAATCTGCCACCAGGATCTGGGCTCGCTTGTAGAGTGAAATTCTTTTTCCCTGGAACAAAGAGAAGAGCAACGCAACACTGTGTGCATAATTATTACACAAATGATTCCTCAGTCAATCCAAAATGATAATTAAATGACATTGATGGCCTTTAATAAATAAATAATAATAACTGGCATGAGTTTTCCATCTACAGACTCAGTTTCTTCATCTGTTCCCGATCAAATTTAGCTTAAGTGACAACCACAAACTCCTAACTGCTTTTTAAAGAGATGTATTGCATTCCCCCACTGTAAGTATCACATTTTAAGTCAGGTGAGGAGGGAGCCAGGTCATTATTTAATCATTTTTGTGGTCTTTCCCACACTCTCCGATTCCTAGGTGTTTGCTTAATATTGGTCCTGCACCATATCCGAGTGTCTTATTGAGTCCAGATTATGAGGCATCGTTCTGGTGATGAGTTCCTTAATTCCATACATTAGGGTCCTTCTGATGTATTGACGTTCCTGTTGTTCGTAGGTGAGGAGGGTCAGGAGGTCATAGCATGGACGCCATCCTCTGCTGGGAAGAGGTCTGGGCAGGCAAAAACAAAACTGATCATCCGAGCTCCAATCGGTTGTTCTGAGAAGTTGGAGAGGGCAAAATATTCTCTTTTGCCGGCCAGCATCGTCTGCTTTGTTACCTTGTAAACGGTCTTTATCAGCTGTCTTCTCAGTTGGTCTCTTATCAACTTATGACTGTGAGAAAGAATCATTGGGTTCTGTGGGAGCTTAATCTGGGGTGGTTCATGCAATGACCTGTTCTTCTTCTCCTTGGTACCTTACAGGGTGCATTTATAGCATAAAGATCATGGTCTTCCTGAATGCACTGGTTTTACTACACTTCTTAAAAAGGGAAGCTGACAATAGGTTTAGAAGTTGATTGTCAGTCCATCTTCAACCTGAAAAGATGCTATTAGTTCATCTTTAACGACAGCAGCTCATACAAATAACACTTGACCACCTCACTGGTGCCAGACTCTGAGCAGTGCCTTGTGTCCATCAGTAATCCAACCACAGTCCTGTCCATCTGCTCCATCAAGTCACTCTCATTTTATTTGTGCTTTTAACCTCAAAAATGTCTCCAGGTATTTCTTGGCACTTCAGGTTGTGAATCGTATTCAGTGGTGACTGTGTTTCTCTGCCTTTACCTTTGACAATGGGTTCCCTGTGGCGTCGTGTTTTATTTCTCTCTTTTTCTATAGTCTTCTGCAGTTCATTTGCACCGTTTTGTTTTTGAGACCTTGCTGACTATTTGAAACAAGACATTTGATTGTCCCGTGGTCACACCTCCATAGTTGAGCTATTTTAAGAATCTGTCTGTACATTTTTTAACAGTGTTTTTTTCTTTTTTTTTGCTCCCATTTAACATCAGGGAATGAAGCTGCCTAATAATTATACACACCTAATGTAAGGTGCTTACTTTATAACCTCCATCATTAAACAAATACCTTAAAGGGATTAAGTCCAATAAGCATTCAAGTTCACGTAGCTTTGAGTTGGAAAATGTGTATAGGAATAATGTTATGGTCAGAATACTCAGTTGCCTAATAATTGTGCATTTAGTGTAAACTCCCACTGTATGTTCTGCTCAACCATGCGTTTCAAAGCCATTCCTATTTATTGCTTAACAGATGTTCTAAGGAAAAGAACATCACAGCAGCAATGTATAATATGTGCAAAAGAGTAGAATTTGCTCCTTCACTGGTTGTATAATATGAAGAGGGCATTCAAACTTGCCACACTGTCTCTGGCCAGAAGGTGGAACTCTCACATCACAGTTCAGTTCTCCAAATGCATACATTAATCTCAGATCACATATGCTTCCTATATGCTGTCAAGATGCCTGACATTCATTGTGCAATAAATTAGAGAGGGAAAAGTGAAGCAAGCGCTCGCGGTAACGCTTTAATATTAAGATAAAAAGCGCAAATATTTTAGAAGTTACTTACATTTTAGTATCTAAAATGTAGTAAATCATTTAATCATTGGATGTTCCTGGAACAATTCAGCAGCTGCACAACCTGAACAATTACAGCAAACACAGAGTACCCGTGCAAGACTATTTCTCCGCACATTTCCAGAAATCAATAGTCCCACAGTTTTGCAACAGATCGAACTCTAACCTCATACGTAGCTTCGTCCCTGTAGGAAGGAATCTTCTGCACAATAAGCTCCACCATCTTCCGGGCGTCGTTTCCGGCTTGGCTGATAAAACTCCGGAAGCTTCCACCGTGATCCAGCAGCACACGGCCTCCTTCAGTCAGCGCCTTGTTAGAAAGATTTGGTCATTTATGCTTTTCAGATTGAACAATGAGGCTGCATACATTCAATTTCTACTTATAAAAGGAATACAGTGGATGCAATAATGCAACACTGGCAAACAAGAGATTCATTGATTTGGAGCTATAATATCAGTTTTCTTATTTATTATCAAAAATACATGCAGGGCAACACTGACAATAATAAATCAGTAAAGGATTGTGTTAATTTAGGGTTGCACTTTCATACAGTCAGGCACAAATACACACAAGTGCCCTACATGAACACAACAGGATATCAGATGACACTTGTGTGTACAGTGCAGGATGTATAAGTACACTGGCTTTGAAAATCAATGCACCTTCTTTGTTCAGAGTCTACCGAGTCAGATGATACACTCGTTTTTTCTTAAGACGTCTTATGCTGCATAACTGCTGAGGAGGTTGCATCGAGTCAGATGTCAAATAATTATACTTCTGTACACTTTTAAACAGAAAGTGAAAATCCAAGGCGCAATCTGAAGACATCCTTTTCATCACTGGACTGATACTAAAGCAACATCACTGAAAGCGACCTATAGATTAAGTGAATCATTACTTCCCTATCAGCACGGCTGTTGCACATTATCATGATAATGTTAGAACCTGGTGGCGCTCCAGAAGCATCGGCATGGGTGTTTCATTGTCTGATCGAAGGACGTGACCCAACTCCTCCACACTTATCTGAGAGAAGTACTTTGGATCAGTAATGGGTATACCTGTGGAGTGTGGAAAAGAGAAGCAGCTAGAAGGATTTATCTTTAGACAGGAACTACTGGAGAGTAGGAGGACTCTCAAGGCTACTAAGTTATGAAGTTATAATGTGCTGTAATAACAAGAATATAACTCCACGGTAGCCATTTTTCGCAAGAGGCTCAAAAGACAATTTGTTCTGATCTCCTGCTGTCAACCCTTGAGATTCACACTCCGGAGGAAAGCTACCTGTGCTTTTCTGAAAGAATCTCTTGTAATTATAAAGGCCACAGCGACCACACATTGAGAGCACTATACCATATGAGACATAATTGATTCATATCCGGAGTCATTCATGCTAATTATAAATGATGCACGGGCGCATGCAGAGTTACAAGCAATTTCCCAGCAGTGCAAGTTCAAGAAAAGGGCACACACACAATAACTAGCAATAAAAAAAAAAAACACACAGAATAGAGGAACAAAAAGAGACATCAACATATTTTTTTTTACTCTCTAGAGACAAAGCGAGCAAAAAGTAGAAGTCAAAACCTAAGAGCACGGCCTTACCTTTATTGCAAACAGCTATAGTGGCAAACGGACAATAATTCTGACATTTCTATCACCCACATGGTTTAATTTCTAGACTAGAATCTGGTTTATTTTCTTTTGATGACTACTGTGAAAATGCTGTCCAGCAAATAAATCCATCAGCTGTGGGAAAGGAGGTCAGGTGTGTACGTACTAATTCAACATACTATTCGGTAAAATAAAAAAAAAATTAAAAAAAAGGCTCTCACCTTCTTCCATGGCCCTTGTGATGGCAGCACACAGGGTCATGTATCCTGTGTACGTCGTCCCTTTATAGGTCACCTCACACTGTTGGGTTTCTTTCTCCGGCCAGAAGGAAAAGTTCATGGTGTCGACCACAAACACCCAGTTCAATGCCTGTACGGTTCAAATATACAAACTATATTAAACCTTGCAGTGACAAAGCACACAGGTAATGTATTATAATATATGATGGCCTGAACACAAAAGGGTTTCTCTGCGTTTTCTTTTGCTACAGTTGTCAGTGTGCTACCGAGGGATGGACTCTTATGAATACAGACATCCAGTTTTTAATTTCCTGATGTCTGCATAAACTTGATGACGGCCATTAATAACTGACTTCCAGGAGTGAAATCCCCCCCCCCCCCAATCATTGTGCTTTTCATTATTTCTTGGACAGTTTTTATTGAATAGTGTAGGAGTCACCCAAGTTGACCATGTACTGAGAGTTTCACTAATTTTATTTTAAAAAATAGTTTTTTGGCTAGTGTTTTAACGAAGTACAAAATATCAGTTTTAACTCGGGCTGATTTTCTCCATTGCTGACTAATCTTCAGATAATTTTTCTGATTAATCATTTGAATGTTACAAACCAAAAAACAAAGGCTCATCAAAAATTCCTGAAGCCAAAAAAAACTCCTCAAATGTCTTTTGTTCACAACCTAATACTCAAAAGATATTCAGCTGATAATAATATAAAACACAGAAAAGCAGAATATGCCTACAGAATTGATAAGTTGCAACCATCAAATAACCTGCATTTCTGCTTAACAAGTTACAATAATCTCTGTTCCTTAATGTCATAAGCTACAATTAATTATCTCTGCAAAAGTACAAATACAGTCTACACTAAACAATGCCACATTTCCAGTCATCTAAAATCTCTCTCTGTTATCATGCCCATATTATTAACAACATTAATTAGTAATTCCTTTGTGCATCATTCTGAGGTCTCTCTCCATGAGTGAGCCCCTCAGACTATCACCTTACAAGTGTTTATTATTGGTGCCTTCTTTTGCACTGAACAAAATCCTCCATGTAGGATGTGGTTCACTGCTTATGTATAATACGACAAATCATTCAGCAGTCTGCGTGGTGCTGAGTGCTGACAAACTCCCCTGGTCAGAGGTGGGTTCCGGGGCCAATGGATTTGCCTTCTTCCAGCCACTGGCGGTCAGATCGTCGCTGTGTCGGAGAGCATAAAGCATCTCTGCCACCTTCTGCACTCCTGCTTCCTCCACAAACACATCTCGACTCCTCTCTGCTATGAACTGGCCAGACTCGCGGGGAAACAGAGGTGCTTCCATGATGGATACTGCATGGAGCAGAAATGCAACTGTGACAACATGTGCAGGCAAACAAGCATGCATAAACAGGAACAGGTGTCCCAGAAAACCCTTGATGACTATAAGGATGTAACTCTGAAAATAATCATGTCTTTTGGCATTTTCAAGCATATTGATGTTGATTAAATGAGTGCGCATTAGACTAGTTCTCGTCCAAAACATACAGACATCAGGAACAGCTTCTATGATCCTACATGGATGGGTGCAGGATGCCCTTTTCATACCAAAACCCCAATATCCGTTATTCATCTCCAGGGATGTGCCATTTTAAAGATGATCTCCCTGCGTTATTATGCAGTTCACAAAGAAAGAACATAATCAAAATGGGAGAGATGTAACAAGGAAAGAACATTTATTTTTAAAAAGAAATCCTTCACAAGTATTGATGGAGCTTTGGTATAAAGTTTTGCAAGATTTGTGCTGGTTTCAAAACTCCTTCTTGAGTGTTTTCAGGGTTAAACTATTCTCTCATCTTGTGTTCATACCCAGAAGAAAAATTCATGAACATAGAAGCCCATTGTTGTGCCATAAAGTGACCATCTACCAAAAATAAGTTGCAAAAAAAACAGTGGATCCTTGTAAATCTTGAACATTTCTTGAAATCGAATAATTATGATCAGAAAAGTGTTTCCAGTCTATGGCATAATCAGGCACGGCATTTACTGGGATGATTATAGGCACTACCACAGTATTGCTTGTGATGTTTAGGCTATATGTTTTTGGTTCGTCAAATAGAGCATACTTTTGATTTTTATGGAAAATACAGAAACCATCTCTTCCAATCATCCTATTGGCTACAATCTTTAAAATATAACCCCTGTAAATAAAACCAAGTCCTTCTGATGCATTAATAACATTTCAACCACAATGTAAGGGTTGCAATCAGTTTTTGGGAAAATGGAAAACTGTATCCCTTAAATGATTTGATCTTGGTCTTTAAAGCTATTTCAACCAGTAAAAACTAAAGGAGTGATTATATTCTAGGGCACAGTGCAATCAAAATGATGCAGAGACATAGGATAATTGGTCTGGCAATAAGTTTTTTGGCACAATGCCTCCACACAAGAACATCTCTGAGCAATCCCTTTACCTAAACAAAAAGAAGACAATTACATCATTGTAGTTTCTCTCAAGTGTCCAGTGGTTGTGTGGTAACGATGCCCATGAAGAACTGTGGCCTATAGAAAGAAATTAATTTACACTGGTCTTTCTCTGGTGAGTTACATGATTTAACCTCCCCTTTCAAATATACAAATAAATAAGTAAATAAATCGTGGTTTTGTGTTTTGTTTTGTTTCTTTTTTCCCCCAGTTTTTCATAGACTGTACACCCGCGTCGTTACGTTTCATTGTAAATGTGGACGAGCAAAGTACAACACCTGACTGAACATTCACGTTGGCCGCTAACTTCTCCGTTACCACTAATACAGACGCGTCTACACCTTCATACTCTGCAACAATGCATTTAGTTTTTGGGTATAAACCCTAGCGTTCAGCAAACACTTCCTTACTCATAGACAAACCAATGCTCTACATCACTTACCGACAGACGTAAGGACACTACCCTGCAAGCGCGCGTGGTGTTGTTTCTACTACCTGGTTTCCAGCTGCCGTCCAATCAGAGTCTCGCTTGTGGACTCGTCACTGACTGGCAAGCCAATCACAGCAAGCCAGGAGAGGAAACCGGAAAACAATGTCCGTTGTGTATTCATACTGTACGCGAAAGTAATTATTTACTTGGTAAATTGCATAATGCTTAACGTGTGGGGCTATAAATGCATCCAGTAGCAACACCCCTAACCCAGTAAAAACAAATTATTGCGCTACACATGATAGTAAGTGGACAAGATAAAGGTTTCTGGAAAAAAAGGGTGATCAATTAGCTGTTTTGACGGACCAACAGAATACACATATTTACATGATGAGTAAAAATATAAAGTAAATAATAGTAAATAAATAAATGCTATTTCCATTTTCTTTAATGTAACGGTTGTTGCATTTCTTTTCTTCATAGTTTGGCAAATTGAATTTATTTAGGTTTCAGGCAAAAACAATATAGATATTCCTTTATACTATAGAGTACTCTGGAATCCCGTTTTATGAGAAGTCAGATATCACTTAAAAGAAAGTTTGCATTTGCAGTCCATCAGACAATAATCTGAAGTCGTGGCTTTAAATATGTGTCTGCATTATAGGCCAAATATCACCAGTGAAAGATAAACTGTTCCAGATGTAAAAAATAAATAAATAAAAAGGTTCACTCATTAAATGTTCAAAATGGTTCAGTAAAAAGTGGCATCATCTTTATTTGTTTTACAATTTGACAATGTAAAGTCTACAGCATGGAGAGCAAACAAGTGTAGAGCACAGGAAGTATCAGGGACAAAATAGATAAGTTCAGTTTCATTTGTCAAATCTCCATTAAAATGTCTTAACAAATCTCTAGCTACAAGTTCCCATGTGTGAGGGGTTACGCAAATGATTCAGTTTTGTTTCATCACACAACTACTATATTCATAGAAATTAGGCTATCCTGTATCTGGTGTGTACACGAGTCCCAACGTAAACATCCCAAAATCCATTCTAAAAGGGTAAAATTCCCCACAGATCTTTAAAAGAAAAAAAAAAGAAAAAGAAAAGAAGCTTACATTCTGCATGATGCACAGAGTGGTAATGTGGTACAACTGAGAGTGAAGGGACTGATATAGACAACAGAAAGCACACCAACCCACACACGCTGACATGCGCGCACACACAGGACAGATTCACATGGAGACAAACTTGCACATAAAAAATAAATTCATAAAAAACAAAACCATCAAAAAATAAAGGTTATGTTTATTTTTGTCTGTGAGAAGTCTGAAGGATATTTTGATATATGAGTGTTAGAAAAAAAGCAAAATGTATCTGATAAACTAATGGACTACACTCTTCGAAATGCAGAACATCTACATTTTCTTTTATGCACAGGAATGTTGGACATTTATTTCATTAAAAAATACAAAAATAAAATTCAAAAAAAGACACCCACAATCCAGAATTATAGTCTGAAGGGGATGTGTTGGACAGGGGCAGAAAGGTTGAGAAGAAGGGGAGGGCAATCTGTGTCTGCTTCAATCTGAGCTTCTTGGGTCTACAGCAAATGACCAGAGTACTGCTTCACACTGAAATAAAAAGAGTGGAAAAATAAATAAAATACACGAGATTCACAAACAAATGACAGTGTAAATATATTGCTATGCAATTGTGGGTGGGATGGAGTCTTGAGAGGAGAAGGATGGGGATGCAGAGCGGAAAAGAGAGACAGACGGCGAGTAAGAAAGACGGGCAGAGAGGGAGAAGGCGAAGATGTGACAAGTGGCTGAAGGAGAGCGAGGAAGAGGAGGAGGAAAACGAGGGGTGTGGTTAGTCCTTGTGTCCAAGCAGGTGCAGCACACTGAAGGAGGAGGAGAGGAAGGAAGAGGGAGGCAGGTTTAGTTACCATGGCAACACTACACTACTCATGAGACAGGGCAGCAGGTCTACAGCTGTATTAGCATTCGGGCAAAGCTCGGATAGCATCAACAAGGAAGTAGTGTGTATTATACGTGCCTACTGGTTGCCAAGGGAGACAGAAGAGGAGGAGCCTGTGCTATTTGGCAGACTGTGATTTGTTGTCGGTTGATCTAACTAAAAACAACAAAATCACTAGTCTTCCACACAGCAGCAGCCAGGGGAAGAATCAATCCACTCCCTGCTTCACAGTGAAACGGCTTAGATGGCAAATAGACATTGTGTTTTTTTTCTCTCTGTTTCTACTCATAATATTCAGTGGATGAATGTGACAGTCAAAGACACATGTCAATCACACTGACCCTTTTTAAAAAAATGTTATGTAATATGTACAACTGTTAAGTTTGCCTACACCTTCACAGCCATTTCATGTAAGAGGAAGGTTTGAACTAGTTGCAGGTTGCATGGGGAAGAAAGGAAGGGAGTTAGTGAAGAAGAGACAGCAGGCAATAGAATTGCATAACCCAACAAAAAGTGGGCTAACTAGTATTAGGATGCAATTTCAGAGGAAAAAAGAAACATTTATAAGTTTACAGTCCCAACAAAGTCGATAATATGATGTTCCATGTATTTAAAGACAGGCAAAGATGATTGGCATCGTACGTTTTTGCAATTCTATTTTAGCATGAGTTTGCAAGAGTGTACTCTCTAAGAAGGATGCATTATACAGAGTAGTATTTAAGATGCATCTCTCATTGATGCAACAATGATGTGAGCTCGGGCCTGGTTAAGAGCCCATAAAACAATTTCATAGAGGTTTTCAAAATGGTTTCGATCTAAAAATACAGGTTAATAGGCTTAATGGGTGCATTCTGAAGAGAAAATGGTTTAACTACAACTAGTATATTCCAAATTTCTACATCTACTAAAACTAAAATCAGTGTACTACAAAGAGACTTGCCTGTTCTGTAGAAGATACTGGGCATTCTGGATCTGATCCTGGGTGCCAGTGATGGTAATGATTCTGTCCTCAGAACCTTCCAGAGGTTCATCGATCTTGATGGAGGCCCCTGACTCATGGCGGATCTGTTTGATCCGCTGGCCTCCCTTACCGATGATGGAGCCAGCCAGCTGATAGCAGGGCAAGAGAAGTGAAGAGGAGGGGTGAGGTGGGGGAAAAAAGAGAAAAAAAGAAAACAAACAAGTAGGCAGAGAAACATTTTAGGCACCGGGGATACACGTGTGTAGATTAAAAACAATGGTGGCAAAGAGTAATGCATGACTGGCAGACATGTTCAAGAAGATATAAGTATAGTTTCAAAAATTCTAGCTATTTTTGTGAGTGTAAATGTGAAAAGATTAACAAGAATCATCATTCTCAAATGATTTCTATTAATTACACTGAATGACTACTATGACCTTGTCAATTGTGGGGTGAATATTGAAAGAGTAGGTTTGTGGAAAACAACACAACATATTGGTCTCTACAACTAGAATATTGTTGTAGTTATTTAGCAGCTGCACACATGACGTACACATACGCACGACTGTCATTATCCTCATGATATTTAAATGACAGAGTGTAGATAACATGATCACATATGGTCATGAAGAATATTGTGTCTGCACATTTAAGTTGTGAGGTAGTGGGTAAAAAACAACAACAAAAAACAGATTTTTTTTTTTTGGTGTGCAAGTTTGTGTTTATATTTGTGTCATTTACTCACATCTTTAGGGATCGTCACTTGTGTGGTGATGACTGGGCCACCCATGTCATTATAGGAGCCACGTCCACCTGATGGCAAGAGGGAGGGGAGAGGTGAAAACCGGAGCAGACAACCAGCGGGAGGGAGTGTGGACACAGTGGGGAAGTAAGTAGAGCACTAAAAATCAATACTTGGCTGCCAACATTATCACACATGGCTCGGCAAATTTTTCAAAATCGTAAAGATTGATGAAGTGTAGAGACTCACCTGACTGGTAGCTATCCCAGGAGGAACTGTTGTCTGAGCAGGAGAGGAAAGAAAGAACAGTGACTCAGTGATTAACACCAAGACAAGATATTTCTGAGACATTTGTAAACAACTATTTTTCTAATTACCCACCTTAATACTAAACATTAAAGCATGGTTATACATTTTAAAAAGCTCTTCTAAAGACATCTGTTAAATAATATATAATTCTGCATGCACAGCCTGAAAATTTCAACATCAATATATATTTTAGGTAAAATGTCATGCCATTTTAAACCACAGTATCACAATAAACCAATAACCCCAACACCTTACTGTTAGCTGCAGTGTCCTATCAGCCAGTTTACCATTGTACAGATATTGTTATCATGTCCATGACAAAATACTTGACATATTTCTAAAAGAGCCCCGAGGCCTGTAGTCTTTAGGTATATTCAGACATATTAACAGCCTTGTGACCACTACCATATAATGTCAGAGAAAAATATAAAGCTTAGCACTTACCATATCCTCCGCCACTCTGTAAAGAACAAACAGAGACACAGACGGGTTACATACTGTATAACCGATTCCTTTCATCTTCCACATAAATGGATAAAGGATTGTAAGCATAAATGTATGGATAATGCAGCAGCCTCGTCCATGGAGTAGACTAAACTAAAAGCCACCCAGTTTTCATCCACAAGACAGACTCCTCCTTCTTTCCTCCCTCCATCCCCCCTTCCCGTCTCTCCTTGCATCTCCATCAGCCCCCATTTTCAGCTGCTATTCAGCTGCTGCTGTCACCAGGGCAACAAGCAATTCAAAAAGCTGTTGCTGAGCAACGGCAGGCAGTATCCTGCCAGCTCTCAGAGAGGGAGAGGGAGAGAGAGACCTTCCAGTCTGTCAACAAAGCGTTATTAGTGCTTAGCAACGAACCATGGCCACCCCCACCCTCCCCACCCCCAACATCCTCTCTCTCTTTGCAGGAAAAACAGGCTGGCCGTGAAAAGTACACAGTAAGAGGGCAATTATAGCTGATTATTATGGGGTGTCTCCGGCTGTGGTGATTATGGTCATTTGGTGGGATGGTTTACACCATGGCAAAACTAGCTTGGATCCATGGCCAGGACTCAGATGAGTGTATGCACACGCGTGTGCGTGAGTGACCAGCTATGACTGTACTGTCAATAAACCTCTATTGTCATAACAGGACAATGGACAATCACAGCATATTGTCTAGTGCTAGGACCAACCAGTATGCTAGCCTGAGGATGTTGGCACCCAATGAGATGCTAGTACCAGAGCTGCATGCATTTAGCAAAGGGTCACTAACCATGCTATCGCTATAGCGATCCGGTCTGCCTCTTCTGTCGCTGTTGACGGGGAGGGGGGGCAGAGACGGGCAGAGAGAGACACAGAGAGAAATGTGGGTTGGGGTGGAAAGAAATAGAAAATGCTTAGAAAAAAATGCTTGACAACATTCCAAAGAAAATTTCTGGTCTAGGTCAAACTGCACACACACGCTGAGCAAGATTACAGTATAAACACATTTCCTCTCAGCCATCTTCCCACACAGTAACAGGAACAGCTCTGACAGTGTTATGGTGAGAGGAGTGACAGGTGGTGGTGATGATGATCAGAGCCAAGGGCTGTTGCTTTTTTCCCCCACGACTTAGCTCAAATAAAGGAATTAGCTAAAGAAATGTGTTCGGATTTACTTGGTACTCTTGTTGTTTCTGAAGAACACACAAGCATGGATGTAAATATCATGTCAAGCTACAGCCTCAGCTTAAATTAATATTACTTTACTTTTGCTTGAAAGCATCTCTCTGTAGCCATGTTGTATTACATATTTATGTATATCACGAATTAAGAAAAATACCAAGCTATTCTGATAAGCAGCATCATCTCAATGTAGACAACTGACACTAAACCTAGAACATATCAGTATGTCATTGTTCTGGTTTTGTAGAGTACAGATGTTCCCATTTTAAAATGTATTGGAACTCTTAAATAGTCTGTCACGCCCCAAAATGACTCTTCTTCAACTAATAATTTCTTATTGTGAACTGGACTTAAGAGAAGAAACTAATTTAAAAGTCTGCCTAAATGTTGCATTTATGTACAACTTCAAATATTAGACAGATCCTCTCTAATTACACGGCAGCTTGTGAAAGCATGCCATTTTGCGAGGGACCCAACTGACAAATGTCAGCTTCACACCAGCACATGACCCTCATACACACCACAACAAATATATTCTCTCAGACCTGGTATGTGTGGAAGGAATAGCAGATTGAATGGGTTACTAACACAGGAAAGACGAAAAAGGGTTGTCATATAACTTTACTGTAATTCCCTATAAAGGACTCTAAATAAGAGCACTGGACAGGTGAATCAGGGACTGAAGGTAGAGGACTACAAACAGAAGTATCACAATGGATCTAAGTATTAAGACTTAAAGATATGAAAAGAGAGCAACAGTTTACAAAGAGTGTTAGTTTCTCACAAGTTATCAGAGGAAGTGGATAGCAGACATATTCAAAAAGCTGTAACAGTTAAGTAACAGGGAAAAGGAATAAAGGATGTGTAGGGATACATCAACACTTTCAACTTAAGTTAAAAACACTGTGGCCAAATCATTTGTCACACTAGTGAATAGAAATTATGCTGAGCACCTGTCAGCACGAGTAAATCATTTCAAACAAAGACCAAAGGGTAAAATGCTGCACAACAGGAAGCACCACCCAAATGGTATTAACAATGGATTGTTGCTTCAGTCAATGACAAAGCACCTATATTTTAGCAAGTGCAGGTAATACAAAAACAACAGAACATCGAAATGTCAAAGTATCCCTGTAAAGATTAGTTAGGACATTTAGTCAGAGGTTTGGGGACAGAAACTTACTTTGACCTTTCATCTGAGCCGCGGTACGAGTCATAGTAACGATCATCTCTGTGGGCAAGATGTAAATGGGGGAAAAAAAGACAAACACACCCAGACATACAATGATGAGCGCATACACTTAATGGAATGATCATCATGAATACCACTGTTTCAAGAGGCGTGCATAGCCTGACACTGGATTACATGCAGAACACTCGACTCAGTTTATTCTATAAAAGACAATGTAAAGCAAGTCTGGTGAACAGAATGCACCTGAATGGAAAATAAGCAAATGGACAAGGATTAAGCTTTGTACATGCAGATGCAGGCGGGTAAAAAGCAAGTGCTCGAGAAGAGGTACGTCTTCTATGTCTAGTATTACAAGAATATCAAACACTTAAAACTCAAGAGATTAACTGGAGAAAAAGACCTCTTAACTTCAAACTGATGAGTGGATTCATGCAGTCATTTTGCACTGTAGTATTCAGTAAAACACAGAATGCTTACAAGACGTTATCTGTATGCTACTCAATTAACTTCACTAAGTGGCTACGTCTTAGGACAAGACTCACATTTATGCACAAGAAAGAGAAAAAGCAGAATTCATGCTTATTTCTTACCCTCTGTGTGGGTGTCCCATGGGCATGTTGCGTCCACGGCTACTCCCCCTTCCCACCCTACTTGGGTGGGGTGGAGGGCCTCGGCGTGGGCTCATCTCATCATAATCGCGGCGGGAGGGAGGCGGGGGTCCCCGTCCCCCTCTGCTCGAGGGCATTCGGTCATAGCCGCGGTCACCAGCGCTGGACCGCCCTCCGCGTATGGGGAAGCCTCCCATAAGTCTACGGCTACTCCCTCTCTCCTCAAACATCATGGTAAAACCTCCATATTCATATGTTTCATCATAGAAGTTGGGGTCATAGGGCTGTGTACGACCCTTGATGGGAGCCTAAAATAAGAAGAGGACAGATACTGACCTGCTCGAGAGTATGAAAGGCATTGTTTACAAGAATTTACCAACAACATCATATTCCTGTTGTTAAAAAGCAGAAAAGGTTTAAAAGGGCATTCAATGCTGCCATTCTGAAACCATTTCCAACAAATTAAAAAATGTAAGTTACAAAAATCAAACATAATTCTAGAAAGGATCACAAAGAAAATAGTCAAATAACGCAAAGCATGGCAAACTACAAGAAGGCCTCACAAACACTTTAAAAGTCTTACTTCAGAGACGAGCTCCAGCATAGTCTTTATACACTCTACCACCCTCTCCGTTTTACCGCCAACCAGCACTACGCGGTCTGTCGACTGGGGACAACACTCCTGAAACAGCTTGATGCTGGTCTTTGTGTTCTGAAGACACACACATACAAGCACATATGAGTGGGTACAGAAAAAAAAAGAATACTACTCCACGATACAGCTGCTTATTCACAAGTAAAAAAAAACAAACTACAAGCACTCATGAAAACACAACTACGTCATTTTAAAATATTTTAAGGCATGGCAGAACACACTACGTACTATGGGCAGTTATTAAATTCTTGCTAGCAAAATTAAAATGTAAATCGAGTCAATAAAGAAGATGAACAATATAAAACAATAACAAAAGAAAAATCACATCCTGTCTGGGTACCTCCAGCTGTTTTCAATTTGAAGACATGTATTCTTGTTACAACTGAAAAACTGCCAACAACAGACACCCATTCCTTGTGTGAGCATACCTCACGGAGCTCCTTGATCTTGGCTCCCTTCACCCCGATGATTGAGCCGGCCAGGCTCTGGTGGATCAGCAGACGCAGCTCACAGTCAAAATCCATGCCATTGTACTGCTGGTACTGTGAGGACATTAAACATGTTCGTACCATGATACAATGCATTTTGTTCCTGAAATAGACTGAAACCTGCCTGGGCCTTATGTCACTTCTTATTTTGGCAAAATCATCTGAGTTAAAGCAGAATATAAAAAGATGGCATAAAAAACACATGACCATATCTCTGATAATGGGTAGCATACGCCCTTATGATGACAAAAATAAAATCTGTAAATTCTCAGTTTGAAAGTTCTTACTGAAATACTTGTAGGTAGAAATACGTTGCAACAGTGTCTCCAAACAGAATGTCGACATAAGCAATCAGACAGGTTTCTTGTTTAACCTATGCAAACCATTTATTTATAAATAAAAACAAGGAGTAAAAATGTGATGGACATTTGCAAAAGACAGTTTGGTGATAACTTTAATTCAGGAAAGACAAAGACAACAAGTCCAGTAAGTGCTCACCTCTTCCAATGTTGGGATAATCTTCAGCAGGATTTCTCCAACGGTCTCAATGTCGGCACTGATGCTCAGGATGCTTCATATTTCATCCACCAATGACAAAACAGAGCACAGCCACACAGAGGGTGGGGTGGGATGCCAGCAAGGCATCGCGGGGGGGAGGGAACAACATTTCAGATCATAGAATTCATGATAACCCCTTTTTTCCCCACAGAAAAACAGCTAAACCCCATTAAAAAACTGTCTACTGAGGCTAACGCAGCGTAATGAAACGTTTAAGTCCAGTGTTTTCTAAACTTTACATGCTAAATTCCTGTTAATTGTACTTTAACTGGCAAAAAAGCTGGCACCCAAACAATGCAATGAAAAGAAAACAGTCTTTTACCAGAGAAAGGAAGTAAAGAGACAAAATTAAAGAGGATCCAAAGAAAAGTGACTGCATTTGGTGACCACTGAAGGGGCAAGACGGGGAGTGTGAGGTTTAGGAGAATCTGGCAGGAATAAGCACCAATGGTGCTAGAGAGAAGTCTAAAGTCCTAAAGCATAGGTTGGTGGATGCACACCACAAAGACTTTGACCAAATAAGTAACCCAAATAAGGTGTCTAACGCGACTTTTAAATTATCAGGAAGGTTAGAAAGTACTAATTAAACCACTCTCCTATTTCTTCATACTTGTCCAATCTTTAAAAATGTGCCCTTCACTGTGATGTTAAATTTTTTGTCAACAAATGTTTGTTGTCTGCACCCACCTAGTGACATAATAAAATAAACACAATGATTGTACTGATAAGGAGAACTTAAGCACAGTTTGTACATGGAAGCAGAATGGGAGGCTGCTGAGGGAGAGTAACAGAGCAGATTATATCATGGTAAATGAAGTCTGCCACCACTCGAGTTGATGCTTTTTAAGGGGATGGGAGAAGCAATTAATATAAAAACCAAAGAATGCAGAGATGAGCGGGACAGAGAGTGATATCCTATACTTTCAATAGCTCCAGCAGTCAACCACCAAGTTCAGATGAAGCAGAAGACAGAAAAGGAAAACACACACAGACACACACGCACGCACACAACACTTGAATCTTAGCTTGAAAATTACGTTTCAGAATGGATGGACAACCTGAGTCTATCGATAACAAGGAGGACATCACAAGGAAAGAATGGGATGATGCGAGAAACAAGTGAGCTGATGAAACTAACATAAAAAAACAAGAACACCAGAATATCCACTCTGAGGGGGGAGGGAAGTGAAAACGCGGAAGATAAAGAGGATAGATGATCATCAATTAAAATAATAGAATAAAATAAAGTAAAAAAAAAAAACTGACATTTTGCACAGATTATAGCAAAGATTTAAAAAGACAGTGGCAGATTGTGGAAAAAAATAAAAAAAAACCCTGACAACACCAGCCTAAGTTTAAATGCTGACGTGACTTTAAAAAATGGCATATAAAAGGATGTTCATATGGCTTTTACAGGATCAACAGGTAGATTTGGACATGAACGCATTTAGGCATTTCGACTCAGGCTAATATACTGTGAGAACAGGTAGGTTAAAATACAGTGACTTGACAGAGGCAGGATGACTATTTATTATTATCTCTTCTTGTTTGTTCGACCTGTAGTCAGGCAGTGAGAGGGAGGAGCTTAGGGACATACCGCTCAGGCCCACTGCTGTCTGGGACTGACACACTGGCATTGTACTGGGCGTGGCATGGGCAGGGGCCAGGGCCATTCGAGCACAGATGTCAATCAAGTAAGGCGCCCATTTAGGGACAGGGCACGATTATGGGCAGGGCCAACCAGGGTGTCAGGTGGGCGGGCGCAGGAGGGGCCATCCAGAACATGGGCAACAGAGGAGGAAGTGGGCAAAAAAGTAAACAGTAAAATAATAAACAAGGGAGAGGGAAGAGGGAAGAGGAATACATTTTTAATATACAGGCTCTACACTGTTCAAATGTGACTTAAATTTGATTCTCTCAGAGATTGGTTTGTCAAAGAGAGAAAAGGAGAAAAGGTGACATTGGAAAATGGGTAATGGCATATTAAGAACATGAAGATTCAATGTTGGGGAATAAACCAGAGACAGTGAGAAAGAGGGGAGGGGGGGACAAACTGTGGAAGGCTAGAGAAAGAGGCAATGACATTGAATGAATCAAGAATTGGCCAAGAATTGGTTTGCCTTAACAGTTATTTAAAAAAATGTAAGCTTAAATGATAGCGTGCGCTGCAGGTGACCTCACGAACTCGGCACTGTGCCCATAAATTTAAATTAGCAAGAGCATCAGTGTTGCCGCAACAGCAGTGTTACAATAAATTATCATTATGGAGAATCAAATAAGACATGAAATTGGGCTATTGTGCCTTGGGTCAGTTTAGCTGAGGCAATCACATAATGGTCATGTGAAAAGAAAAAGATAAAACCTACCCCAAAGGGTTTATCAGGAGATCTCATGAACAGAAGGCTAATAACATGGGCATCAGCTGCCACACCCCTTGTTTACTTGGAAAAAAAACAATACCAATGCCAAATACCAAAATAAGTTTTAATCAGTTATCTTGGGTAATTCTAAAAAGATGCTGTCCTATAGAGGAGGCTGGGTAGGTTTGAGAGGCCAGTAAAGAGAAAAATATAGAATACAAAATAAAACTCTAAACTAAATAAAAAATTCAGGGTGTATAAAATAGGTGTACTCACGTCTGTGCGAAGGGCTTTGATGTTTTTGCCACCCTTCCCAATTACAGCTCCTGCATTCTGAGAATACAAAGAATACTTAGAATAACTGCCAACAGAATAACAACTCAACTATGGTACTGTAATTAACAGATAAGATGCAAGATATTATTACAATTAATGTAAAAAAAAAAAACAAAAAAAACAGTGATGTACAAGTACCTGTAATAAAGTGCAAAAATTAATTATTCAAAAAGGCAGAAATGCGATCAGGGCAACAAAAAGAAAACCACATAAAAATGGAGGGAGTATAAAAAATCTGCAGTCTTACAGACGGGGAGCCCAGAAGAACGAGACAAAAATACCAATAATCACATAAGGGTTCAACATGAAACGAGAAATGAAAGGGAAGCTGATTTACTTTGCTCTGCAGGAGGATGCGAAGCTCAACCATCTCATCCGAGTTCCTGGAGCGCTTGAATGATTTCTGCTCATCTGCATCCTCAGCAGGGCGCTTACCTGGCATAAGGAGATAAAAACACACCCTAACAACTCTGCACATACAACCTTCAACAAGAAAATAATCAAAAAAAGACCACAGAAAGCAGTGAATCACAGAATTACAAGTCTTATATTTACAAAGGCTGTTATCGTATTATAAGCTAAATACACACAAATCACTGTGTGCAAAGCCAGGATAGCCACAGATTTGAAAAAATCCTTCTACGGAAAGATTTAACACAATTTTGGGAGGAGATCTGTTAATGAACAGCTCTCTAAGTATTGCACACACCTGATAGAGAAATACTAAGTGAAAGATTTGAAAGCATACATAACTTGCAGTAATTTCCCAAATATAAATTACAATTCTTTGATTCCAAAACACACACATTTGTCAACAAACTGATGCACTTTCACAACATAGCTGACAATACAAAGGAGTTATGCTTTATACCATTAGTCTCTGAGTTGCTGAATGAAGTGTCGTCTTGCTGATCGATTTCTGAGTCCATGGTCTTCTGACAGAAGCAGAGAAGAGGCGAGCACCTCGGTCCGGGATACAGGTGGCAGCAGCAGGGAGAGAGAAGCAGAAAACGGGTCCCTGTGAGCTGTGGTTGTCTGTCGACATTATAAGAGCAGGGGGAAAAAAACAATTAGACAATTCAAGGTGTGTGATGAAAATCCGGCTACTGGAGGAAGGGATAAAAGGGAAGAAAACTGGCTGAAACTCGGAACTCGCCGATATTTATTACAGGGACAAGGGCGTGTTGATAGGCGGATCTAAATAAGCAAGGACCAAACAGCTCCTACGACCTGTCAGGGAGGGAGAGGCTACGCTTAATACTGAAATGTCGCCGTATGGAAAAAAGGCTCGGTGAATGCAAAGTTTGAAACGCACTAATTACGACTGAACATATTTTATTTAACTGCTGCGTTTGGATCGCTGTGACTGTAAGGCTGGGCAGTATGATTTACGAGCACATATCCAGCGAGTATTAATGACTACTGATATTCAACGGATCTGATATCATTGTAAAGTTATCAGCAGCCATATCAGCACATTAATAGGAGTGTTTGGCCGGAGAGAGAAGCATTGCGCAATGTTCCGGGACGAAGGAAGAGTGCGACTGCCACCGTCCACTAATCAGGAGATGAGTTAATCACTCCCTGACGAAAAATGCAGACGTTGAATGCCAGATCAATAACTAACATAATTAACATTTTAGTGATAATTGCCAAACAACAAGGCGAATGCTCACTTTAAAGAAGTCTGACAACCCATGCCAGGAATAAAGTCGCTAAAACTATGACATTGACTAAACTGAAAGTGAGCTAGCTCGTTTGAAGCTAACTTAGCGCCCGTTACCTAAGCTGTAGTTAAGGTTAGCCACCGGAGCAGCTAACTAAGCTAGAGGGAAGTGCGTTAGCTCCGAGCTCCTTCGCGTTGATTTGAATTAGAGATTTCTGACAATTGTCGGTTGTATTCTTTTCAAACACTTAACCAGTCGCGTATGATACAACAGGCAAATATATCTATGGCTCTGATCAAACGCGAGTAGGTTTATTAAGCGCTACCAACTGATCAATACAAAGACCAACCGGAGCCACTCAAGCTAGCGGCTAGCTAATTTCGCCATGTTGCCATAATTTCGGTTGAGCACAAATGGAGCTAGCCCGGGCAGCTAGTTAGTCAGCGATGCATTACACCATAGGCGATGAAGTGACTACTGATAATATAGTACAGATGTATTTCTTTCTGTAGCACCGGTGTACTTTAAGTACATTGGGCTCAATGTGGCCAAGATAAAAGGGGAAAATATCGTCAAAACACAAACCTGCAGTCCAACACCTCGCTCGTCCCCTTCCTTCTCTACCGAACCTGGAAATATGCACGTTAAGATCAGCTACCGTGAATTCATTGGTTGAACGGAAAGCTACTCAAACATCCGACAGTTGTGATTGGCTGCATCAGATGTCAATCACGAGGGTGAAGGCGTTTCCAAAGTGATACGATCCGCCCTGTTTCCGGGTGCGGATCCGCAATTTAACAGAGACAGCAGGAGCTATTCGTGTTTGCAAGGTTTGACCAGCAATGCTACTGTTAATGCGATTCTTAGAAGTTGTAAGGCTTGGTTGTTTGTTTTAAGATTTCCCGGTGTATAAAAGCGCCTCTGTGGTCATGTAGTGTGGACACAAACCCGAGGCACAAGCGTATCACTGTTGCTAATTCAGTAGGTTGGGTTGGTAAACTTTGGCGCCTTTGCTACTTTCCACAGTAGTTCATGGAAGCAGCCGCCTTCAGCCTTCTCAGGTAATATTAGCACAACGTAATGACTTGATCAAACACGTTTTTCCTGTTTTTCTAATTCACCTGCCTGCATTTCTCAGATCTACTTTTCCTCTCTCCTCCTCAGTGGGATCATCTGCGCAGACACACACCTGTTCATGTCGATGTAACGCCAGAAAAAACATCAAAAACCAATTGTGCCTTATTCTTGTATTAGAAATAATCAGTTAAATAAATGGTGGTTCAGGGAGTTAAAACAGAAAACAGAAACCTCCATTAGGTGTAAATATAACATATAAACCACTTCATGTGTGCTTCACCTGCAACAGAGTGGAAGTACATAATTCATTTACTATTGCAAAGCTTAAAAAATGCACTGTAGTTATATAAGGGAGCTTCAATTTAATAAATACAGAAGTGAGAATTGCAATTAAATATAAAAAAAATAATTGGATAATTAAATATTTGCCTACAGTATTATAGAAACAAAATAAACACCTACTAGAAACTAGAGATTTTTTTGTTTTGTTTTGTTTTGTTTTTTACAGGCAGATAACGGCAGCCAAAGGTGGCCTAAGCTAAGTACATACTGAGGCAGAGGATGGCCCCTGAGATTCAAGCTGTGGTACGTACTACCCAAGCCTGGCTGCAGTCCTCCCAGCATGTCCAGGTGCCCTTTGCGTGGCTAGAAGCCTGCGTGGAGTGGCTACAAGAAGAAGCAGGAGGAGCAGCTCGTCTGTCACAGCAGCAAATCAACCGGCAGGTGGGCAGGATGTCTGACTGTCTAACTGTGTAGTTCAATGCGAAATGATCACACTCTGTGCTGACAAAAAAAAAGGCACTCAAGACCCAGCTGTTTCTGGGGCTTTTTTTTTTTTCTCCTCGCAGTCTTTCTCAGTGGATGGAGTTTGCTCAATTGTTCCGTCTAAGTTGAGAAAATCAAAGGTGGTCATATACGGAAGGGGGGGAAAGATGGTCTCTGGCGTTGGATGTGAACGCCATCTTCAACAGTTTTGTTAGTGTAGCGTTCACACACAGAGAGACCGTCTGTTTCCAGTGCTCGTGCATTCTCTTGTCTAAGGTTTTTGTCTTTTTTACCGGCAGTATGTGTGTGGTGTTCCCCACACTGCAAGTCCAGTTGATCAATCAATTAAAAAAATAGCATGCAATAGTTTTGATATGTTCGTCATCAAAGCCATTTAATCAAGCAAATGTCAAGCAGTTGCCATACCCAGCTCTCAAATGTGTGAATTTTCTGCTTTGTCTGTTTTCATTCATTAAAAAAAATCAATATTTCAGATTTTTATTTACAAGATGTCACCCTGGGCTTTCAGGGTATGTGACTGGCAGTTTTTACTGTTGTTGAGTTTGATGTTTAGCAGAAAATATAAGTAAAGTAGTCCACAGTTTAATTGACAATGAAAATCCATTTTATTTGCAGCCCCACAGCTGCTGCATGTGGTGTAATCCACCTCTCCGCTTCATGTGATGATGAAGTAGATCATTCTGCTTTTCATGCGCACAACTCGAGTGACTAACTCAGATTGAGATGAATAATCTTCCTGATGGTTTGTGTCTCTTTCCTTCTTTTATGGAAGGAAATCCCAAACTCCATGTGAGCTAAATATTTGTGAAATCCTGCACAAATATGCAGCGCGCAGACAGCAAAATTCATTGAACTATGGGGGAGACAAACAACAACCGATGTGTATTTCTATTACTGGCAGCTGAGAACAAGAAGATCATGCTCGAGTAGGTAATGATCAACAAAAGTGGGCGATTGAAGAGTGAAAGAACACCTCCTGGTCTGACAAATCCTGGTTTCTGTTGCAACATGCTGATAGCAGGGCAAAATTTTTGTGTAAACAGCATGAATCCATCCTGCCTGGTGTCAGCTGTACCAGCTGGTGGTGGCGTCATGTGGGGTATGTTTTCCTGCACTGACGCATCATTTGTACGCCACAGTGTCCCGAAATATTGTTGCTGAACAGCTGTGTCCCTCCATGGCCAAAGTCTATCTTTTCTCAAATAGAGACTGGAGGAGGATAATGCTTCATTTTTCAAGGCACATATCATCTCCTCATGGTTCCAGGAACATGACTGTGATGTCGCTTCATTCAAGTGGCCCGCATGGTCGCCAGAGCTTAACTCTATGGAGCCCTTTTCCAATGATGTGGATAAGCATGTTTATATCATAAATGAGAGATTTAAAAAAATCTGCAGCAACTCAATGACACTGAGTCAGTATGCCTCAGTATCTCTGTGACGCTGCTTTCTTTTAGTTGAATCATTTCTTTGGACGATTTAAACTCTTTCAATGGCAACACTGGATCTGATGTAAGGCTTAGTGTGGTTGGTGTTGAGGTGATTTTTTTGAAGTTTCATATAATTAACATTCATTTCATGAAAGTGAATATAACTAGGGCTGCAAGGTGGCTCGATGGTTAGCATCGTTGCCACGCAGCTAGAAGGTTGCTGGTTTGCGTCCCAGTGAGGACACCCGGGATCTTTCTGTGTGGAGTTTGCATGTTCTCCCCGTGCAGTGTGGGTTCTCTCCAGGTTCTCCAGCTTCCTCACACAGTCCAAAAACATGTTGAAGTTAATTGGTGATTCTAAATTGTCCGTAGGTGTGAATGTGAGTGTGCTTGGTTGTCTGTCTCTAAGTGTAGCCCTGTGATAGACTGGTGACCTGTCCAGGGTGTCCCCTGCCTTCACCCTGAGTCAGCTGGGATAGACTCCAGCCCCCCATGACCCTAAGGACTAAGTGGTGTATAGATAATGGATGGATGGATGTAACTAGTTCTTTGTCATGCCACAGAATGGTAAATGTTTTAAAAATACACCAATAACTTGCTATGAGTGACAGAAAAGCCTAAACCCTCATGTGCCTTCCTGCATGACATGAAATTTTAGGTGCTGGACCAGTGGCTGTTGACAGACCTGCGAGACCTGGACTACCCTGTTCTCCCTGAAGGCCTCGCTCAAGCCCAGAAGACCGAGGTCAATGGCACCTTCTGTGTCCAGGTACAGGCTCTGTTATTATATATGTCACAGTTACATATATAATCTCAAAATAATGAATTGATTTTATATGAGAAACAATGGCCACTTATTAGTAGAAAATGTAGACCAAATATTAACCCTCTAAACCCTGAACCATTAGTGGTCATTTTCTGTTCCTGTCACATTTTTCACAGAGTCACAACACTGTGGACTCATTTTTCACTGCAATATAAAGTCCTGCAAGTTTATAGCTAGAAGTGAGAAGAACTCAAAAATGTCTTTAGTGCAGTTTGACAAAGTTAGAATAGCATAAATAATAAAATAAAAAGGGAAAGTTGAATTTCATTGATTATTTATTTACAAAAGTTGTAGAGGTTAAACCAAATACTGGACTATACACTATATGAGCTCCATCTGCTGTAGATATTTTACTTAATGCAAGTTGAATTAGTTTCCACTTTTGTCTACTCTCTGCCTGCAGTTCAGGCAACTGTTGGTCACAGATAAGTTGTTCAAGGTTTGTGCCAAGAAGCACAGTATCTTTAAATAAACAATCTTTCTTGTCAATTTTTTAAAACGAGACACAAAATAAAGTGATCTTGATTAAATTTCACATTTCTAGGCTTACATTTGAATCACAGTTGGTTAAGGCTAAAGGAATGGCACAGATGATTTGTTGAAGGAGCGTCAGAGAACGATTCTTTCTGTTTGTACAGTTTCTGGCGCTGATAAATCGTGTAATCGACCCGTGGGTTTTATAGTTTAGAGGGTTAAAAGGCACCCTTAAAAACATCTAATAAAACACCCTTGTTTAAAACTAACATAGCAATTAGTTTTAAACAGTGCGATGAGGACAATTTATTCTCTGCTGCGGAACACAGGGCAAAGGACAAAGAAAAACCAAGTCACATGTAATGGCGACAACAACAATTAATGAGCACAATAATGTAAAAGTAAAGCACATAGCAGTCCACACCAAGCAAACCAAAAATGATAATTTTCCTACATAATATATTTAATGGAGATGTAAATTTTGAATTATCTGATTATAGTTGGTGTTTGTTGTGTTGTATCAAAGTATATATACTTTTTTAACACTTATTTTTATTTTGTTTTTATTATTTTTTCTTTTCTTCATTGAAACTGGAGGCTGGTTCAAAATACATTTCACTGCACATTGTACCATGTAGGAATGTGTATGTGACAAATAAAGCTTATCTTATCATAAAATATTTGGTTAATTTTTCCAGTCCAGTCAAAGTTAGTTTATTGTCAGTTCTGCTACATGTGTACACATACAGAGAACTGAAAATGAGTCTCTCTCGAACCCTCATGAAAAAAACACACAGTTAAAAAAATATACATACTAAAAGATTTTTAAGATAAACATATAATAAACTGCGAAATATGCAATTTAAACATAAAATAGGCTAAACATTTTTTGCTTAATATCACAGTCATATTCACGTGTCCATGATCAAAGTGTTCCTTTGTGCGATATGGAAAATCACACATCAAGCAGCTGAGGCAAAAAATAGCACTTTAGTGGAATTCAAGGAAAAGATGTGAATGATGTACAGTTAGAAGCTGTATTCTAACAAAGCCCTACTGGAATCCAGTTTTCCTAGATGGTAATTGGAAGCCCAGCTGGAAACCCTTTGAAACAGATTGTTACTTAAATCTAGCAATATGAACATTTCACTAGATGCGAAAGGCAATGCAATCAAAAGGTCTCGTTCTGTTTTAGGTTGACTCACTGCTGGACGTCAGTCAGCCGGCGTATGGTCAGCTGCAGAAGTGGAGAGGCACAGACTGCGGCAACGACGACGTGTCTGCTGTCACACAGTACACCCAGAGGCCCTGGGAAGCCAGACCAACCCGTATGTTGCTCCTGCAGGTCAGTGTTATTTGTCAACTGCACTTGATATTAAAAATCTCCCTTTATTTTAGTATTGGGCTTTTTAAATTAACGCCACAGGGGTCCGAACGGTTTCATCAACCTTAAAAATCCGACAAAATATGAGATGCGCTGTAAGTTGTTTGCATTTTCAACTAAGACCACCTGATGGTCGTAACAAAAGGTAGCCAAGTACTCCCAGCCTCGAAGCTGTAAGTTGAATGTACAAAAAAAAAAAAAGCATATCATCAGTAATTACCTTTAATTACTAGTATGCTTCTGTGCAGTTTTCGAACGAGCGGCTTTCTGCATCAACAGGCATCCCGTGTATGTCCGCGTTGTAGCACAGATTTTTCCTACCATCTCACAACAAACAACAGTGAAGCATGTAGCACTTAGGTGTGAAAAAAAAAGTCCCCGCAAGGTTACTTGTACAAACCTCTGTGGAGGATGGAGCTGTATTATTATTTTTGCTAATAAAAAAAAAGATTTTGACAGCAGTAATCCTGAACCAAAGTTATGCTACAACACCTTTTCACATCATGCATGAACAAGTCTTGATTACAGTGCTGCACTATTTACCAGATTTTATCTTTGTGTGGTTGGTTTGGTAGAATAATAAAGACTTCTGCATCTATTCCTAACTGAATCAGAGTGGACAGGTTCAATCAGGGGGAGCATATGAAAAAGTAAATTGCAGGAATATATGACGAGGACTGTAATTTTCACCTTAGGAAATACACTTGTCACTGCTCTATGATTTTTCAAGAATGGTGCTGGTGTTGCTTAGAAACGTGGCAGTGGCTTTTTTACTTTTTTTTTTTTCTTTTTAATACTGTTTCTCAGACTATTTTGAGCAAGTCCTACAATTCTAGGAGTAATGGGATGCAAAGGCTAATGGCAGTGAAAATTTGTCATGGAACCAAACATAGAGCAGTAATAATTTATTTAGAATATAAATGTCAAATAATAATTTCAGCATCACAAGTTCATCATTTCTGTTTCTTGGTTAAACATTGTGTCTGTATTGTGCAGGTAACAGATGGAGTCCAGAGCTTGGAGGCAATGGAGTATCAGCCCATTCCTGCGCTTAGTACAGCACTCAGGTCTGTAGAACACTTCAGTTTGTCTTGCTGCTTCTAACTTTGCAAAAAAGAAGGGCCGTAGCTCAATAAAGTTTTGTGTCAGTGTCTGTCTTTTTAACAGCTGTGCCTCTAGTTTTATAGTAACACACGCATTCAGGCAACAGAAGGACTGCCGTTTCCTCTTTGTTAATTAAACAAAAGTCAAATGGTTTTCATGCATCTAAATAATTCCCTGACTCCACCAGACCTGGCGCAAAGCTGCAGCTGCAAGGGCGGATAGATTGCAGACTCGGTGTGCTCCTGTTGGGGCCGTCCAACGTTAAAATCCTGGGCGGTGAGGTGGAGGACTTGGTGGACAGGAATAACCAGGTAACTATGACAAATCTATCTTTTTGTTTTCTTCATTTGTTTTTTGTTCAAATCTGGTATGAATTTATTTAGGGACCAATCACTAGTTGATTTTGGTTTCATGGGTCAGTCGCAGATTTCAACCTGTTTTTCTTATAGTAGTGAATTAGATGCGATGATTTATGCAGGTCCATTTGTTGATTTCCATACTACTCTGACAGGGCAGAGTGCTGTGTCGGACGCTGGGACTTCCTGAGGAGGAGCAGCAGCAGCAGGAAGGGGAGGAAGCCCCACCAGCACCACAACAAGGTATATTCAGGAGACTTTGTGTATCTTTCCAGGTAGATCATGTCCTACAAAGGGTCACTAATTGAATAAAGTATGTACACTATGACCCCACAGCAGCTTGGCATCAGTTTGTTGAGAAGTTTAGGTTTTATGTCTGTTAACCCCCCTGAGCCCCAAAACCTGCTGGTGGGTTTTAAAGGCATGTTATCTAGAAAGAAATGCTATAATTACACTTTACAAGCCAGGATCTGTAAGAAAGAGGAAGAATTGTTGCATTGCCTACTTTCTATTTTCTGATGGGCCTTGAACTAATCGTTTGTGACTTCTGGTTCACGTTCAGTAAAATTACCCAACACTGAGCTTAAGATCATAATATTTCATCCAAATCACTTTATTTTATAAGTCTGATTGTAAAGTTTGCCAAAAGCAAACTGTTTGGAACCAACAAGATTACATGAAAGTAAAAATAACAATAACTCCTCATTGTGACGAGAAACCATTAGTGACTCGGCTACAACCAACACTCGTCATGAAGTTTCAGGATGTTTCAGTTCAACTGGACTGACCTGCAGGTTGTGTTTATTCAGAGCAGAAAGAGACAGGTATTGAAAGTCATAGGTTGTAGAACAACTATTCATAACACCTGTGAGCACTTGGAAAAATGTTGGACACGTTGCAAAAATCTCCTAGAACAGGTTTGGGGTTCAGAGAGTTGAGGCCTGTTTAACCATGCTCGCTTTACTCTTCCTGATTTCGACTGGCACAAATCTGACAGTCAATCACAAAGCTTAACCCACTGATTTTAGAGTTCAACATAAATAAGATGCTGTTTTCTTCTTTAGGTAACCAGGACATGGAGGAGCTGGAGCTCGATGATGCAGAGCTGTTGGCCAGTTTGGAGGGTCAGGAGGATGCTGACATGCGTCAGGTTTTACCGCCTCCTGACAGCGGCTACGGGACCCTACGGGGAACCTCCACTCAGTCTTCAAGAAGCTCCTCTGTCAGGAGCTTCGTCTCAACAGTCTCATCCAGGTGGGTGGTTAACAATGTGATGTCGTGACATTTTGATGCTGGAGCTCCTCACTTTACTCTGTCAGGCAAATATATCTTGACATTTTAAATTTCAGAATAATATTTGTCTTCAGAAAAAAATGCCTTAGGCAGAGTTCACCACATTCATTCCTCAGCCTATTTACAAACTTATCTCATGAAATGTTTTTGAGATTAATAGTGTTACTGTCAGCACCTTGTCGTTCTGTCCTGTTGTCAATTCGCAGCCAGTGACAACAACAGCAATGTTTTTAATAGATTCTTACTGAAGACTGAAGAAGGAGAAATAACAGTAAATAAAAAGATTTTCAGTTGGAGTATACCATCCACCAATTTCCTGTACAGACAAAAGCAGCTGAGAATGCAGTGGAACATAAACTGATCGTTTTGAGTTGTAGGATCAAAGTAGTCACAAATTATGATACAAAACGCAAAGCAAACTTTACGGTCTCAAATTATTTTCCATTTGCCAACTTGAGGCAGTCATCAAAGACAAGACTGAACAGTTTTAGGTGAGCTATCTTGTTCTTGTTGTTTCTGGAGTTTTTTCACTTTTTCAAAAGGTTCATGAAAAGTATTCTTCACATTTAAATCTCCTTACCTAGCGGTGCCCCCGGAACAATGAGCCCATTAACACTGATGGCTTAAAAGCTCTTTTCATTCAGTCCAACATAATTGGCTGGTGTCTTTCAGAAGTGAGACCTCCACTCGCTCTTACAGAGGTGGTTTGATCCCGAGCAACAATCGTGGTTCAGTCCAAGGTCTTCATGACGGTGACGAACAACAAGCTTCTGAACTCGCTGACTTTTTACCACCTGACGGGATTCGTCAAGAGATCCAAGATGACAACATGGGAGACGAAGACTTTCCTGATGAAGACTTTGACGATCTTCCTCTAGATGAGTTGGACAGAGCGGTTTTCCAGGAAAGTAAAACCGTCGCTACGCAGTCTCACAGAAACGCACCACATAACGACAGCAGAATAACAGGAAATCCTAACGGTTTGTGCAAAGAAGCAAAACCTCAAACTGCTCAGTTTGAACCACACACTCTGAGCGGCTCCGGGCCACAACTTGGGCCGAGCAACTCCAGATCCGCCGCGCAGAAACGAGACCATCAGGGATGCGTGAGAGCAGCTTCAGGGCAGTTTACCACAACGACTGCCAAACCCTTCGTTTCCCCAGCACCTTCAGAGCCATCAAATGCGTTTGTTAATACTGATGAAAGAGATTTTATGGATGATGACATGGACTGCTTTTTGGATGAAGTAGAAGCCTATGAAGCACAAGGTGGGTCAAATCAGCTCCCTGTTCATCAAGGACCTAGCAAAGACAGAGAGAGTGCTGCAACAGAAACGTCAGCCTCCAGTTGTAGACTGTCCAGCAAATCATCCAGAACACCTTACACCACACCCCAGGGACAAACCTCCACATCATACACCGCAGGATCCGACACACTATCTTCCAAACAAGATCCACAGAGTGATGGCAAAGACTCTGCTGTCACTCTGACCTCTCCACCCTTTACGTACTTGTGCTTGCTAGAACAGCTGATGTCCAAACCACATCCTCAAACCACCGAGATCCACGTCAAAGCTTTCATTGTCACTCTCTTGGGGAAACTGAGCAGCGTCAGTGGTGCGTGGTGTGTCTCTGCTACAATATCTGACGGAACTGGTTACCTGGATGTGGAGTTGTCAAATGAGGTTTTGACGAGTCTGCTGGGATTCTCAGTGGCAGAGAAAGGAGCTCTGAAGCGAGATCCAGCCCGGAGAGGTGAGCTGGATGCCGGGATGAGGAGATGTCAGGAAGAGCTGGTTGACATGTGCTGTGTTATGACCATTGTGGTTGAACCAGAGGCGAGGAAAGCTGTGGTGACCAAGGCAGACCCTGTCAATGAGAAAATAGTTCAGGAACTGGAGCAGAGGGTGAGAGACAGGAGAAAATAAACACAGAAGTTGAGGGGAAGTGGGCGATAATGAGAAAATTACAGGCGGCGGAAAAGTATATTACCCTTAAGCATATATGAAAAATTGCCAACAAAATTGAGGCAAATATAACATCACACAACAGCCTTGAAGGTTTTCTTTCATGTAGTGAAACTGAGCTACTTTTTAAGGATTGATCAACCTGAACCTCTGCTTCAGATTTAGAGAACAGAGAATTAGATGTCTGGTGATCATCAAGCAGTGTGTTGAAATGGATCCCATGTGCTAAATGAACATGTGACATTCTGACATTTTTCATTAGAGGATTTCCAAAAATTCCAAAAAGCAAAGATATAACTCTGCTGTTTAAAAATCGATAATAATTGTTGGTTATTATTGGTTTAGACAGCCCACAACTGAGCATCCCATATTCTATGTAACATTAAAAACTGCTCGGAGAGGAGAGCGAAACATGTGAGCTAAAGAAGGGAAAGGCGGGTGTTTATATTCTGATTGTGGTAATGAATTGCCAGCCTTTGCATTCACTCAGTACAACGATTACTTCTGACTGAAAAGTGATTGAATATCCAGGGGCAGTGTGGGTCTTTAATAAACTCCCTCAGAGGAGAATGAGAGGAAAGGAAGATAAAGGAGAGGCCATGAGCTTCGATTATTGCTGTTCATTATAGAGCCCCATATTTTTTATTTTTTTGTCTTTGATGAACACACACACCACAAATTTCATGTGTTGCCTGTATTTACTGTATATTGAAATGAAATTGCCCTGAAGGTTTTATGGTTGTCTTTGACACTGACTAATAAAACATATGTTGCTAAGTTTATCTCTCTGTTTTTCCTCATCAAATACATATTGCATTACTCAACATTAGGTGAAGGCAAATCAGACTGCTGCACTGATGCATGGTGTTTCATTTGGTTTGTAGCAGTTTTATTAAATGCACCTTTAGGATATGCATTGCTGAAGCCCACATATTGGTAATTAAAAGTACCCATGTGCCATTATATGATGCTGTACCTCTTTCAGATGAAACATCTCAACAATTTGTACTATACAAATTACTTTGCGTCATGTCTGCTACCATACAGTATAATTAGGTGGCAGTTTGTCATACTTGAGTGTCTTAGGCGTGATAATGAGCGGAGGAGACGCATCTAAAGGTACCACAGGGAATGTATGTTAGTCTGTATGAGTGCTTATATTTGTGTTTCTTTGTGCACTGGCGCAACGCGGCATGCATGTATGTTATTGTCTTCTGCCGCTGTGTGCACTTCCATTCCAGGTAGCCGGTCTCAGTTCATTAAGGGCTAATCAGGTTGAACATCTAAATCAGGACCCTGCTATGCATGTTGATAGCCTGTTATGTGCTAATGAAGCTGGATATGGTGGAGGGGTGGGCGAGGAAGGGGAAAGAAGCAACCCATAGGGAGATACAAGTGGAATAAATATTGGGTGATAGAGTAAACGAGAGGGGAGTGCTGTCTCAGTGGATATGGAAGCAATGCTGCAGTCAAACCTCCTGATATACAGCCTCAGTGTCTCGGATGGCCTTATGGTGAGAATCTCAGAGTAGCTGTGTCCACCTTTGCAAAATTATGTGACAAAATACATTTCCCACGTGTGAGTACTTTGTTGTTTCGGTTAATTTCATGGTCAGGCTGCAGTGCAGGAAAAAGAAGAAGGATGGGAGGATGAAGGAGTCGAGCTCTGCGTGAGTGAACTATAAAGCTGTCATTATGCTTAAAGAGTGGTTATTGATTTAAGTTTCTTCAGCATTAATTGTGTAAATTATGATTGATTTGTTAGTTTACAACAAAGCCTCATTAAAAGCTAAAACATGGTTTTAATAACCATAATACATTTAAACAGGTTACACTGTTTTTATTAGTTTTTCATTACACTAAAGTGAAGGATTGGCATAATTCTTTCACCATTGTTATATTACAGTGAGCACCCAAGCCATAAAAACCACCCTCTAATGTTGTCTCCATCTCCCTTATGTTGGTGAAACAGTCTTGCATAGACCAGACTGATCTCTACAACACTGTGTGAGCACTGGTGAATGGTCTGACAACACCCACTATCATCCTGCTATAGGAAAAAAGGAAAAACGCACTTGTTTATGTCTTCAAACTTAACACATATCCTAAGCCCAGGATGTAGCAGTGCCACTCCTAGTCACAGTGTCATGCAGATAGCCAAATGGGAAGAAAATCCCACGTGAAATACACAATTTATACCCACAGTCTACACCCAGTGAAGGTGTCCTGTGGTGTCAGGCACCAGAACCAAGGCAGCACATCCTTTAAATCCTGCAACTTCTCTACACATTAAGATCTGGGGAATTTGGAGGCCACCTTGAACTCTTTGTCACGTTCCTCAAACCATTCCTGAACAACTTTTTGCAGTGTGGCAGGGTGTGATGTACTACTACATCAAGAAATACCACTGCCATGAAAAGGTGCACATGGGCTGTAGCAATGGCTACATAAGTGTCAAGGTAACTTCCATATGAATGCCACGGTTTCCCACCAGAATACCGCCCAGAGCATCACTCTACCTCTGCTGGCTTTCCTTCCTGCCATGTTGCCGTAGTGTATCCTGCTGCCATTTCTTCTCCACATGCATCCGGCTGTCCATACGTTGTAAAAGAAAATGTGATTCGTCAGACAAGGCCATCTTCTTCCATTCCATTCCATCCTTCTTCCTTGCGCACCAAGCAGCAATACACATTGTGTTCTGGCATCTATCTTGGTCAACGTTTCAGCAATTTGTTCCACAGTAGCTCTTCTGTGGTCAGCGTTTGCTTGCTCACACTTCAGTCATCGAGCCTTGGGCGCCCATGGCCCTGTAGCCACTTCACCAGTTGTCCTTCCCTGGACCACCTTTGGTTGCTACTGACCGCTGCATATCAGGAACACCCCACAAGACCTGCTGATTTAGAGATGCTTTGACCCAGTCTTCAAGCCATCACAGTTTGGCCCTTATCAAAGCTGCTCAGATCCTTATATGCTTGCTTCCAACACACCAACTTCAAGAACTGACTTCACTTGCTGACTGATATATTCCATGTCTTGACTCTGTAAATGGTGGTGGTAGGTATTGAATGCTATTCACTTCACCTGCCAGTGGTTTTAAAGTTGTGGCTGATGGGTGGATATGCATATAGCCTTTTAGTTCCACGCAGTAAATTACTAGACCGGACATGGTCAAGGAACAAATACAGAGAATACGAGTCATTCATCACATGTCTGATGACCTTCATTATTTCCTCAAAAAATGTATAGTGAGTGTGCTGTGTGTCTGGGCTTCATTGGACAGCTGGACTGCGGAGTCTTGTGGGGTGAAATTACAATTTTTTAGTCTTTAAAAGTTTGTCATGCGGTGGATAAATGATACATTTCAGAAACAGCATGAGCAAGTGCTCGACCGTTCTAATGGCTTTCCATTTTCAATATTATTTCCATGATTTTGTTAGTTTTCCACTTCTGTCTCAGGCCGGGGCAGTAGCAGGAGATAAAATAAGCTTTTTCATTCCCCTGTGAGTTTGGATGTACCTTTCCAAATTGCAGATAGCAGGCAAGTGGAGGAGACTGAGACAGGAGGGATGGAGCACAGACATGAGACAGAGAGCACTGCGCTAATTTTTCTAATGTCCATATACAGCTGCACTGAACCTCTTTGGTCATTACAAATATCCATGTAAAAAGTGCATGAGCAATCCTAATGCCCCTCCTGCTGTAGCAGCTGTAATTTTCTTTGCCCTATTACATTCAGTAATGAAAAATCCACTTAGACAACTCAACCTCTCTTTTAGGCCTCCATCAAAATGAGCAAATGGTTTCTCTTCATGGCAAAAACATACTTCTTTTTGTCTCTCTCTATATACGTGTGTGCGTGTGCTTGTGTGTGTGTGTGTGTGTGTGCCTGCCTGCTTTGGCTTGAGGATGTGAATCATTAAAGGAATAGAAAAATTATGAGGAAATTGGACTTAGGAAACAATAAAGTACCTCTCTACTTTGTTTTGCCTCATCTGGATGGATGGAGGGGGATGATTATTGTGGTTTGAAAAGGAATGAAGAAAGGACCCATTTTGTGCCCATATTAAAGTTTCCAGGGGTTTTAGCTTCACTAATAAAAGTTTTCGATGACATGGGTACTGAATATACTCTTAAAAAAACATTACATTGAGTAGGACTAAATGAAATGCAACGAGTTGTATCTTAAAGGCAAGATGTCAACATATAGTACTGAATGAGGCAGCACACATGATTACGCTTTAGTGTTAGTATTTGGATATTTGTGGTGAATTTTCCAACATTACCAGCATTAATTCCAAGCTGCAGCCGTCCCATGCATACATAAAAAATCCTACACGTTACAAGGATTTACTTGATTTTGCAAACAGAGCAGAAACATGATGGATGTTTTGAAGCTGCAAACTAGTCATACTTAGAGAAAAGAAATGATGTAAGCAACAGTACAGTATAATTTGCACCAAAAGAGGTACTGCACTCATTTTAGTGAAGACAACACTTACTGGTATAATTATACATCATGATTTAATTGTAGATTATATTTTACATTGTTAGGATTAACCTCCAAGGCAACAAAACACTAAATGCAACTGAGTTCAAGTATACAGCACAGTGTAAGATTAAATAACTCCAATCTGTACTTAGGTAATGTATTTTTTCCACCTCTTCAGATCATAAAACGGCAGCTTACACAAAAGTAGTGATTTTCCAAGTTTAAAATGTGCCATTATAATCTCCAGTTAGTGCCAAACAGCTGTATGCAGACACAAAACTTATGTCTGTTACGCCTGCATGATAAAGGATCAGTTCACAGTTTTTCATATCCATCTTAAAACCACACAGACCGCGGTTTCTTGCTTTTCGTGCTCCAATCATTCCTCCTGTTCACACTGACCATTAAGTTATTCCTTCCTAATGTGCTCTCAGTGTAAGAGGTGAGGGACAGAATTTAGTCGTTGCAATGTCTAAAAATGTTTTTCAAAGTCTGTCCGAAGCCAAAATGAGACTTCAGTAGGGAGGTAGTTAAATCAAGAGGATATTCTCTAAAGCTGCGGCCTCACTGGTTTGAAATTCCCACCATGTGTCCCTGTTCAACTATAGTAGAGGGATGACTAAAGAAATTAGTAACAAAACATGTTGAAAAACTTTGTAAAACAATTTTCTATACTCCTAAAAGCAGACCATGAAAACAATATTTGCTGCTTGTCAGATGAAGCCTGTGAAGGCCTCTAAACTGTAGGAACCACCTCATTTATTTTAGTGACAAGCTGAAGCAGATACAGCACACTGCTGCAGCGTTCTAAGCCAGCAAATACTTAGGAATGCAGAAAACATACAGGTAGGACAGACAGTTGTTTATAATTCAACCCTTTGTTTAACATATTAAGCATAATTATAGAAATAAAGCAAACAGAAACACTGTAATTATGTAAAGGTTCCCGAGCAGCTTTAAAAATGTGAGTTAATAGGGGCGCCACTATCACCCAGTTGAGCTGGTGATCCATGTATAGGGGCTATAGTCCCCGATGCAGCGGTCATGGGTTCGAGTCCCGCTCCTAACCCTTTGCTGCAGGTTCTTCTCCCCCCACTTCTCTCTCTCTCTGTCCTATCAAATACAGCCAAAAAAATATCTTTTCAAAAAAGTGAGTTAACTGAACTCAGACTAAAAAAATCATTTTATAAGTTCTTGAAATGTAAAACCAGCTGTGTTAACTTGAGAAAACCAGTTCAGCATTCAATTTATGTGACAATATTCTATTGAAATAAATACTGGCAGGAGTAAAGT